GCGGATACAAATGTACCTGCAACCCTGGATGGACTGGACAGAACTGTCAGCAAGGTGAGTTCTTTTTCTGTAGCAGTCGAGGTTTTAGATGCAGTGTTTATTAGCCTAATTAAGGTCATTAACTGATTGGCTGTCATTTCTTGTAACAAAGTTGAAATTTTCAACGTCCATATACTCCAGGAATCCCATTTAGCACAGCAACTTCTTTCTGTGTTGATACAGACCTGAATGAATGTGATGGAAACCCATGTAAACATGGACTCTGTGTGAACAATGCTGGCGGATACAGCTGTACCTGCAACCCTGGATGGACTGGACAGAACTGTCAGCAAGGTGCTTGAGTTCTTTTTGAGAAGAAGCCAAAGCTTTAAATTATAAGTTTAAGGTCCCTGGATGATTGACCGTCATTTTTGGAATAAGACTAGAATAACCAACATCTATGTAATATATTAGCTCGATCAACCTTAATTTTTGAAGACTTTCTTTTGACACAGACCTGGACGAATGTGATGGAAACCCGTGCACACATGGACGCTGTGTGAACAAAGATGGCGGATACACATGTACCTGCTCACCTGGATGGACTGGACAGAACTGTCAGCAAGGTGCCTGATCATGAGTTCTTTTTGTGTCAAAACTTTATTTTCTGTACTAGTCTTAGGTCCCTGGCTGTTATACTATCATTTTTGGAGTAAGGCTAGAATGACCAACATCCATGTACTGTAGTTGCTTATTTGCTCGATCTAGCTCATCTTTGAAGACTTATTTCTTTTGACGCAGACCTGAATGAATGTGATGGAAACCCATGTGGACATGGACGCTGTGTGAACAAAGATGGCGGATACAAATGTACCTGCAACCCTGGATGGACTGGACAGAACTGTCAGCAAGGTGAGCGTTTAATTAGTGTTAGTCATATATGCCAGGACTCTTTATCACTTTCTTGAAACATGGACCTTTACACTGTGTAGCTACTGATTTGCTATAAGATGGTGTTTGGCTTTTTAAGCTGCAGGAGTCACATGATCCTCTTTATCACACAGACCTGAATGAATGTGATGGAAACCCGTGCACACATGGACGCTGTGTGAACAAAGATGGCGGATACAAATGTAACTGCAACCCTGGATGGACTGGACAGAACTGTCTGCAAGGTGAGTTTTCATCTTATGTGCTGGAATAACAATAATAAAGTTTAGCGCATTGAGAATCCTGCAAGAGCAGTTTTTGATACTGCTTAAACTGAATAAAGATCCCATTAAACCATTCGTTTATGTTACAGCCAAACCATGTCCTACAGGGTGGAGTGGATATGAGAACCACTGCTACAAGTTGATGAGAGACAGAGCTAACTGGGAAAAAGCAAATTTACAGTGTGAACGACTCGGTGCAAATCTGGCTTCTATCACAAGCCGTGACGAGGCCATGTTCATCAACGGTATCATTACTGGCGGTGGGTGATGCAATTTCTTATACACATTATATG